TTTTAGAATACTTCTAGTACGAAGATCTCTTTGAAACTTTCAGTATTTCTCAAAAAATCATTTTAACTTACTGCTATGGAAAGTGTACGGATCAGATTAATGAGTAAATTTCCCATTTGGAAAGTTGTGGCACAGAGTTCCCCACGTCGTATGGATATGATAGTAAAACACGACGTACGGATAGGGTTAAGAAAAAGTCACATTTTCAATGGGAAAAAAAAATGGAGATAGGAAAAGAGAGCACTGAGTACACGATGTGCCAACAGTTAAAACACTCACAGGAGACACATTCTCCTCACAGAAACACAGTCAAAGAAGCCAACGACCGACATATTTAAACAATAACGACCGACATATTTAAACAATGACACCCACCAAAAAAAAAAAAAAAGACAATTTCATCTTCAACTCAATTGACACTTAGTTTTTAGTTTAAGTAAGGGTTTACAGATCTTGCGATACAAATAGGTCGTATAAGTGCCGAAGATTAGAGGTGTTACAAGAGAGTAACACACACACAAAAAAAGAAGGAGGAGAGATAGGGACGATAGATGTTTCGATAAGAAAGAAGGAGCAAACCACATCAGAGCATCTGCAAACCATCTAATACTTCCTGGGGAAAAGTTCAACATTTCATGCTAGCCCTTAACAATAATGTAGCACACTTCTAAGGGAAAAGTTCCACATTTCATGCTCACACATTATTAGAACAAAGCAGCACACTTCTATTGTCAAAAAAATCCCTATTTCAAGGTAACCCTTCAGAAAAACATGCAGCACACTTCCAGTTCTAGGCTTAAAGAAAATCCATATTTCGAAGCCTACCTTTAACAAAATGCAGCACACTTCTAGGCTTAAGAAAATCCACATTTCAAGCTTACCCTTCAGAAAAAAAAGCAGCACACTTCTAGGCTTAAGAAAATCCATATTCTAAGCTTACCCTTCACTAAAACAACACACTTCTAGTTAGGAAAAAGTTCCACACTTCATGCAAAGCAAACATTTTGGAGAGGAGGCGTCAGTCACACTTTTGGGGACAGTACTCACTTCAGGGAGACACAAAAGCAAAAGCTTTACCGGTACAGCCACGGGAACAGTTTCATAGCATAACCTAACTTTCACGCAAAAGAACCGTAATTTAAAAAACAACCTAAAGTTCATTTGGCTTCCACATATAAACATAAAGAGCCAGACACGATGCAGACACAGGCAATCATGGTGCATCACTTATTTCTCTGCTTTGACTCTGTCCCTGGGGCTTTCTGCACCCCGCATAATTTAGCAAAATCTGATCATTTTTTGCATAATTTCTGATTATATTCCTTTATCATTCTTTGTTAAAATTAACAGAATCGCATAATATCACATTTTTTAGCTCAGTTTGCATAATTTCAGATTTTATTTTGCATAACACCATGGGGAAAGTTAGATGCTCTAAAAAAAATTCCTACATTATCTTATTCTTTCCTCGTCATCCTTCTGTTCAAGTTCTCTAAGTCTTTCCTCGTCATCCTTCTGTTCAAGTTTTCTAAGTCTTTCCTCGTCATCCTTCTGTTCAAGTTTTTTAAGTCTTTCCTCGTCATCCTTCTGTTCAAGTTCTCTAAATCTTTCCTCGTCATCCTTCTGTTCAAGTTTTCTTATTCTTTCCTCGTCATCCTTCTGTTCACATTCTCTAAGTCTTTCCTCGTCATCCTTCTGTTCAAGTTTTCTAAGTCTTTCCTCGTCATCCTTCTGTTCAAGTTCTCTAAGTCTTTCCTCGTCATCCTTCTGTTCAAGTTTTCTTAGTCTTTCCTCGTCATCCTTCTGTTCAAGTTCTCTAAGTAAGTTTTACTTGCTCTACTTCCACTTCTTACGTCTCCTCTTTTCCCGTGGAAAACATGATGTTAAGAACTTTCTGTCAATTCAACGTTCCACAAACTGCATTCATCACTGCCATGAAGAACTCGACAGTCTCCTAAGAAACCCGTCATTTCTGTTGCCCCTTTGTTAACTTCCAATCTTTTGTAATTGTCCAGCATTCACAGTTAGTTTTAATAGAGGTTTTACGGCACTCGCAACTACATAAGGTCATATGAGCGCCGGAAGATTAGAGGTGTAACAAGAGAGTAACAAACATAAAAAAGAAGAAGGGGAGATAAGGACGACAGATGTTTGATATAAAAGAAGAAGCAAACCACACCAGAGCACCCGCCAACCACCCACAGCATTCACAGAGATACAGACGAGTTGATCAACCACACATAGCCTTTAAAGACACGCCCCCCCACCCCCAAAAAAATCAAACAAACATTTTGCTTCCAGCAAAAAAATATCCACTTGACACAAACTCTACATAAAAAGCAATAAGCTTCGAGCGAGTCTGGAAAGCCACATACAGACTACAGACACTCCCACACTGAACACATTTCTCTGTCCCCATGGTTTTATGCACCCCGCATAATTGAGCAAAATTTTATCATTTTTTGTGTTGTGTGCATAATTTCTGATTATTTTCCTTTATCCTTCTTTGTTCAAATTAACAGAATGGCATAATTTCATCCATCCTGACCCGACGTCTCTTCAAAAGAGCAGCGTCTAGGGTTCGAGAAAAACATTTCCCATACCTTTGCAAAATTTGATAATTTTTGGTCATAATTTCTGATTATTTTCCTTTATCATTCTTTGTTCAAATTAACAGAATCGCATAATTTCATGTATATTCGGGCTCAGTTTGCATAATTTCCGAATTTTTCTTGCATAAAACGACGGGGACAGATTTATGAGCTCACACACTGCGGACATTTAAGAGCATATTTGGAGCGTGCTGACAAAATGAGTTACTTCTCCGATTTAAGTCTTATGGAAATAGATACATCACGCTTATTGGTGAAGTTTTCACAATTTAGATATATGTAAGAAATAATAAAAGGCATGTTATTATATACTCCAAGCCTATGGCATCAATAGAAAATCTACAAATTTGAGCGTAGTGTTGATTTTTAGCCAATATCTGGATTTGTGGATTGCGAGAAGTGACTCATTTTGTCAGCACACCTCACATGTTCTTCTTCTCGTAAAGCAACAACACAACAACAACGCTCTGTGAGCTGCTGACGAAAGACAGATCATGGACGATGCAAAATGACGTCAACACATCTGATCCTCTTGCGAAGAGTTCGAATCTGCATGAGCTATAAATAAACTCTCCACTAGACATAGACATACAGGGGTCATACCAAAGGTGAAGCTTTTCCTTCTTTGAGAAGAGAAAAAAAAGAATAAAGAAGAATCGAGGAAGGCGGAAAGGATTTGTTGAAGTAAATATATATACATATATATATATATATATAGCAAATGTACTCCTGAGCATGGACACATATGAGTACTAGAGCTATTTCACCATAAAGGAAGGGGTGGGGGGGGCACCTTCTGGTAGCTGGCACTGGCCCTACTACCTCAGACAGAGCAAGGCACAAATCAAAATTTATAAGCTTGGAGAGAAAAACCTCAGACTCCCCGACAGACGAAGGAAAACTCTCTCTGCGCGGGCCACAACACGACGACAGATCTTCCCTGTACAAGACAAGCCAAGTGTCTGCAGGTCTATTTCAGAGGAAATTGGTAACTTATCTGCACCCACAGATATCTCTTCTCTCTCTTTTACCCTTTCTTAACTCCCAGTGCAGCATAGGCCATCAACAACATTTCTCCAGCGAAGCCTGTCCTGTGCATCCTTTTAATTATAATAAATAATAATAATTGAATTTATATAGCGCATATCCATGCTCAAGAGTATGCTCTATGCGTTTTACAACTATTATTACCCCAGCAGACCCTCTGAGAACACTCAGAAACATTCTCAGCTTCCGCGGAAGCATGCAGTGCAAGCTGCGGATTTCACGCGCTCAGACACTATCAAACTGACAAGATCTTTCACTGTCTATAGCCGGGTACCCGTTCCCACCTCGGTGAAGTGAGGAAAACTGGTGCAAAGTGCCTTTCCCAAGGACACAACGTCGGGCCCCTGACGGGATTTGAACCCACGACCTTACGGTTGCGAGTCCAAGAGCCTAACCACTAGGCCACCGACGCCACGAGCTTTTCCAGCCGTTTACCCACAGATATAAATAGATCAAAGCTCAGCACGAGTTCAAATACTGAGCAATAAATGTAGTGGGAATCAAATCTTGTAAGCCATAATAAAAAATAATTTCAGGAAGAAAATGACTGTTCATGGAAAGTCATTAAATCAGAATTTGAATCCCCCACTACACTTTTTGCCTAATTTTGTCATTCTTTTGTTTAAAATTACAATTATTTAAATAATTCATCCAAAGAAAAGTAATTAGCCACAGAGTTTGCCTAAAAATAAACTTAAATCTCAATAGTTTCTGCAGCCTGCAGGGAAAAAAGAATTGTCATCTGTTTGGAAAAGCTGAAAATGGCAGTCGTGTCAATAATCTTTTTGGAAATGTGTGTAATAAAGTTTGTGAGATGCGATAGGGTTAAAGCATGTAATTTGCACATGGGGACCTCTGAGATTCCCCCCCCCCCCCCCCCCC